CAGCTAGGTCTGGTCAGTTGAAGAGCCAAAGCGAAGGCCGAAGCAAAACACAAGACTGTAGACCACAACAGTGTGCTAGAGAAGAGACTTACACATGGTCACCCCATGCTCCCATAGCCGGGTCATATAGACCACCAGGAACAGGGTTGTTGAAGGAATCCAAAGTCGGAGTATTATGGATTCGCTTCACCGAGGTGGCTTTGATATCCTCGTCATTGTAAACGGTAAAGTCAATCCCCGAAATTGAGGAAGCCACGGGACGTGCGAAGTTCGCCATGATTCCCTGCAGCTCCGTGAGCGACAGAAGAAGCTGGCTATGCGACTACCTGTTGGTCTGGAGGAGCAAAAGCGGGTTCGTTCGGTCTTTGTCGCTGCGAAAAGAAAAAGTTCACCCAACTTTTTTTCTGCCGTGCGATACCGCCAAGACCCACGTTTGAGATCGCCCCGTGATTTATGCCCGTGTCACTTAAGTATCCGCGCTCTTTTCTCACTTTAGTTCTCGGACTGTCGATACTCGTTTGCCAAATCTTTCATACGCCAACTTTGATTCGTGCTCGGTGCCAGTGGGTGAGTGCAGCATTCATTTTCTGCCTCAAGCAATGGCGGACCTGTCAGGCAACATGCTGAAGCGACCTCACCCCGAGGACGAAGACAATAACACGCAGAAAAGGTCACGTTCCAATAATGGATCCCCATTACCCGGTCAAGGGGCTCCAGCCTCTGGCAAACCCGATATCGAGAGGATGGTAGCTGAGGCGAGAGCCAAAGCCGAAGCTGTACGCGCTAGGCTTCAAGCTGCAAGAGGAGGGTCTACGCCATCAGCGGCACCAAGCCCCAGTCCTACACCTCCGGCCGCTTCCCCTGCAATGTCCAGATTAGAGCAGATGAAAGCCAGAGTCGCGGCTGCCACTGGAAGGGCCAATGTGGCAGCTCAGCAACGACCAGTCGAGCCCTCGCCAACGCCTCAGCCTCCCCCATTGGAAGAAGACGATGGCTCCTCGAGGGGTCGGGGTGGTCTGGATGTCGGTCTTCATCCGGCTCTGCTATCGGACACTGTTGAGTTTCGCGGTGCCAAGGGAAGACAGTCCACTCAATCGAAATCCCGTCGAACAGAGTCTCCGCTCACGAATGGGAGGCCGGATCGAGCAGGGCTCGATCTTTCCGGTCCTTCTTTGGAGGAAATCAGAAACAATCCCTATTATGATCCCAGCCTCGGTCCGAAAGCTACGATTGCAAAGCCACGACAGTCGCGACAACTTATTTTCAACCAGAAGGGTAAATATATACAGCAGGGCGCTGCTCTGCGTCGGCAGGCTCAACTGGAGGCGATGAAGAAACGCATTGCCGAGAGAGCGCGACAGGCTGGTATTGATGAAGACCTAGATGTCGAAAAGGCTTTTGTTGTTCCGGCTCCACCAGCAATTGAATGGTGGGATGAAGGACTGGTGGACGGGGAGGACTATTCTGGCATCGAAGACGAACGGAATCTAAAGATTGATACACCGGACACCATAGTGACTCAATACGTTCAGCACCCAGTTCTTCTCGACCCTCCACAAGATAAGCATATGCCAGAGCAAAAACCTATGTATCTCACACCTAAGGAACAAGCTAAGATTCGTCGCCAGCGGCGAATGGCAGATCTGAAGGAGCAGCAAGCGAAGATTCGATTGGGACTTGAGCCAGCTCCTCCCCCGAAAGTCAAAAAATCGAACCTCATGCGAGTGCTGGGTGAACAAGCCGTTAAGGACCCTACCGCTGTTGAAGCACGCGTAACGCGAGAAATCGCAGAGCGTCGTACTAAGCATGACGAAGCCAATGAAGATCGCAAGCTGACCAAGGAAGAGCGGCGAGAGAAACTTGCTAGACAACAAGAGAAAGATGCCGAAAAAGGAATTCTCATGTCAGTTTACCGCATTGACAGTCTTGCAAACGGGCGGAATCGCTTCAAAATCAGCAAGAATGCCGAACAGAACGCTCTTACAGGAGTCTGTGTCATGCACCCTAAATTCAACCTTGTGATTGTTGAGGGTGGTTCGCACTCTATCAACAACTACAGGAAGCTTATGCTGAACCGGATAGACTGGACAGAGAACGCAGGACCAAACGCCGTGCGGGAAGGCAACCGGGAGGCTCAGGTGTCATGGCTCGCTGCTGAAGATGAGCAAACAGGTGATCTGAAAGACCTTAGTTCCAATACATGCAGTCTCTTGTGGGAAGGCCAGGTCAAGACTCGAGCTTTCCGCAAATGGTTGGGGGCACGAGTGTGTGAAACAGATTCTCAAGCGAAGGACGTCTTGGCTCGAGCAAAGCTAGAGAACTTCTGGGCACTGGGAAAGAGCGCAAAGCAGAGCGAGTCATGGTCATGACGATGATGTTTATTCTTCTTTATTTACAAATTCTAGTCGAAAGGCAGAACATGTCTATCTCTATGAAACAAATACAACCATGGCCCCTATGTGCCAGTTCTAATAAGCGATTCTTTTTCTCATTTCCGCATCATTCAAATGACATGCCTCCTAAGCGATGCATACATAAAGACTCCGTAATCAACAAGAGAGATGAACCATTGTAAACTTTTAAGCCGATCCAGGATAGATGCCTAACTCCCCGATAATGCAAACATATGTATCCCTATGTATCAGTTTTACCCAAACCCAGAAAAGCAAGGAAACCTTAATCATCTCAACATGGTATCAGACACTCATGAGCGAGGTGGTCCTTGATTGTTATTGCTCAGCTGACGTAACAGGTCTAATTGCGCCTTAACCTGGTCAAAATTCATGGTTGCGGCTTGCGCCGGTTGTTGCCCAGGGGCTTGCTGTTGTTGATACTGCTGCTGCTGTTGCAAAGCGGCCAAAAACAAGGGGTTGATTTGCATGTTGGGTGGGAATTGGTAAGGGTTTTGCTGGGGATACGCCTGCTGGAATGGCATCTGAAAATTGAAGCCAGGAGGTACAGCACCTTGACCTAACTGTTGCTGTGGTTGATGTTGAGGCTGTTGTTGTTGTTGTTGTTGTTGTTGTTGTTGTTGTTGTTGCTGCGGCTGCGGGAAAGACGGGTACACAGGGTATGGCTGTGGCATTCCATAAGCATTAGGTTGGGTTTGCTGATACGCTTGCTGAGTGTAGTTGGAAGCTTGGGGCTGCGCGTCCGATCCTTGCTGTTGATATGGCTGGCGGTCATAATGTTGAGTATCTCTCGGTCCCCCTCCACGACCACGGCCACCTCGGCCACGATCAAAGCCCCGACCCCGACCTCTACCACCACGGAAACCACCTCTACCAGTGTGACCGTCGTTCTCGACAGGTGCCTCCTGCCGACCCATCATCTCATGGAAGTTCTTCGGGCGAGCAAGAGGAGTGTATCCATCTTCACCAGCGTTATCATCGTAGTTTAGTTCGGTTTGGCTGAGCTTCGAAGGGCCTGGGGGACCCTTCTTCGCCTTTGCTGGACCATCCCTGGCTTCCTTTCTCTCTTGCCGCTTCTGTTTCAACTTCCGCTTGTACTCGGCCTCTGCTTCATCGTCGGAAAACTCCACCTCATCTTCACCAATTTCCTCGTCGTGGAAATTCGAAGCATCACTACCTTTCATTCCTTTAAGAGGCTGAGTAAACACAAACGTCGAATGTTGCTCAACGTAGTAAACGTTCTTTCCTTTAGAAAGACCACGTTCCTCGACAGCCGCGGCAGTAGGGAAACGGATAGTATACAACGGGTTCTCAACTCTTCCTAGTGTCTCGGCAACCACACCAACGAGACTCCTGTCTTCAAGGCAGAGTAGTGAGCCCGATTCCAGCACCTGGTACTCTCCAGAAGTGTTCGCCGCGATCAGGACCGTATTCTCGACAATTGCCTCCACATGTCCCAGGAGCACAATCTTCATCTCGGGAGTCACAGTGACCTCCGGGATAGGGGGCGCTTCGTCTGGAAGTTCATTTGCCGTTCTGATATGACCACCCGACTTGCCCTTCCCCTCCCCTTCATCGTCGGAACCGAGTTCTGCCTGCATCAAGATACGCGCTTGTTCTTCGGGGCTGAGAATTGGGTAGTCTTCGTCGTCCTCGTCACTGTCATCTGAGGAGTCGCTAGAAGAATCATCAGAGGATGACTCGTAAGGGGAAGAATCAATCTCCCATTCAGGATGCTCTTCGTCCTCGTCCTGTTCGGCTTGATCATGTTCCATAGCGTCTGGGAGAGGCACAGTTCCTGTCCCGCTTGCGTCACCATTGGTCTTGTTATCGTCTGTCTGAGCGTGATTCGCCGCTTCGGCCTGGTTAGGCTGTTCAGAATTTTGTTCTCCCTCAACGTTTCTGACGCTCTCCACTGTAGGCTCTTGTTTCTTAGGCTCCTTTTCCTCAACATCCATCTCATTTTGTGTATCCGTAGGTGCACCTTCCTGGGTAGTGGGGTTATGCGACGGGCTTGGATCGCTGTGCGCCGGCTGCAGATCCTTGAGACTATCATTGACAAGGTTTAACCCGGGGATCAATGTCGAAGGATGAGAAGTCGTGGCTGGTTCATTGGTTTGACCCTGAATAGCTGCCCCCGAGTTCTCGCTAGGTTCCGCAGGCGTGCGCGCAACCCATGGCGTGTTATAGAAATCACTTCCATCGTCCGCAGGTGTTAGTGCAATGGGTGGCGTATCATTCATACAAGTCCGTTTCACAGGAGGCCCCTCGTTCGCATCCTCTAGGGAATGCTGGGGTTGAATAGGTGGCTGTTGATCACTCATTATGTGTCTCTGTAACCTTGAGAAAAATGTATCTCAAAGGCGAGAGAAAAAATGATAATTATATGTAATAACAATAAATTAGTGGTATAAAGGAATGATTGCAGGCAAAATCTAATGCGGAAACTTTTTTTTTTGGGGAAGTGCCATAAGTGCCGTTGCGGTTACCGGAGAAGCTTTCTTATCGATAACGTGTTTGTTACATTAAGCTTCAACGATGCCTTGAATTTCCCATGTTAATTGAATCTCCTAAACAAATGTCAGCAAAATGGCATCTGCCAGGAAAACAATTGAGGTTCCCTCAATGCCAGCAGGGCAGGCACCGCGGTCCAAGAAACGGTATCATAACCAGAGTTCCTTTCCTTATCAATCAAGCTAACACTCGCGACCTTCGCAGGCCCCCGCCGCCGCCTTATTACCTTCCACTGAATATAACGCTCTATGTGTTCCTCATCTCCAATGCAATTGCTGCTTTCCTTGCGCCCATTCAGGACTGTGACGAAGTTTTCAACTTTTGGGAACCTACACATTATCTTGATCATGGATACGGACTTCAGACGTGGGAGTACTCGCCGGTGTATTCAATCCGGAGCTGGCTCTATGTTACCATTCATGCCATTGTCGGGAAAGCGGCCTCCCTTGCTCTGGTTACGAAAAGCTCCCAGTTCTATGCGATCCGATTCTTTCTGGCCCTCATCTGTGCTGCCTGTCAGACCCGTCTATATGCGGCAATCTGTCGCACACTAAGCCCAAAGATTGGCCTGTTCTTTCTTATGATCATTGCGTTCAGTCCGGGCATGTTTCACGCTTCCGCATCATTCCTCCCCTCCAGTTTTACTATGTACATGTCCATGCTCGGCCTCACAGCCTTCTTGGATTGGCGACGTCAGAAGATTGCGCAAGGAATTATGTGGTTTGGCCTCGGTGCGATTATCGGCTGGCCTTTTGCCGGTGCTTTGATCGTTCCACTTCTGCTCACAGAGGTTCTGGTCGGCTTTATCGCGGGGTCCCTGGGGACGGTCGTCTCTGGCATCTTTAACGGGGCCATCAGATGTCTGGCAATCCTGGTATGCAACTACGGACTGACAGTGTATGATCTCCATCTTGTGCTAATGAGATGCAGGCTGCGGAAATTGCTGTGGACTACGCTTTCCTCCGAAAGTTTGCTGTTGTGCCTTGGAATATCGTCGCCTACAACATCTTTGGGGGAGAGGGCAAGGGTCCAGATATCTTCGGTACAGAGCCTTGGACATTCTACATAAGAAACCTACTATTGAATTTCAACATCTGGTTCATACTTGCGATGTCTGCGGCACCTTTACTACTTCTCCAGGCCATATTCCGACCCCAAGCGACCAAGAAGGAGGTTCCGCTACGAACCTTGGCAGTCATCGCGCCATTTTATATGTGGTTTGCGATCTTTACCGCTCAGCCTCACAAAGAAGAAAGGTTCATGTATCCGGCGTACCCTTTTCTTGCTCTCAATGCGGCGATCGCAATCCATATAATCCTATCCTACGTTGGGTCTAAGGGCTCTAAAGGGGCCAATGGGACCTTGTTAGCCCAAGCCAAGCTTACCATCGTGACGCTTATTGTTCTTGCCGCTATCAATGCTGGGTTGCTGCGGACTGTCGGTATGATTACCGCTTACAACGCCCCTCTAAAGGTGTTCGAACCGCTGGAGCGGTTGGACATTCCCCACACGGGCGACTCGGTATGCTTTGGTAAAGAGTGGTACCGATTTCCGTCTTCGTTCTTCCTCCCTGATGGCATGCGGGCCAAGTTTATCCGCAGCGAATTCCGGGGGTTGCTCCCTGGGGAGTTCCCCGATGCCACGGATTATCCTGCTCTTTTCGACGGTACATCGCAGATCCCCGAAGGCATGAACGACTTGAATCAGGAGGACGCAGGAAAATACGTAAGTGTATAACAAGATGATCCTTCCTTCTTCATCAGCTAATCCCGCACGTAGGTGGACATCTCCCAATGCTCATTCATGGTTGACTCGTACTTCCCAAGCCATGATGCAACCGAGCTTGAACCCGACTATATCCATGACGAGTCACAGTGGGAGGTGATGTCGTGCAAGCACTTCCTCGATGCTTCGCAAACGGGCCTTATAGGCCGACTTATCTGGGTTCCTGATCTGCCGGGGCTTCCGGATCAATTCCAGCGTAAATGGGGGCAATATTGCCTCCTCCGGCGACGTGATGTCAGCGCCGAGACGGATTAAAAAGGTCACATGTACTATCAAGCGGACTATCCCACCAATGTAAATAGCCCTAGAATGCTATCTCTGGATATTACCTTCATTCGTATCCGAGATGCGAGGCCGCAGACGCGACAACGTAGGGCGGCAGTGCGACTTTACCTGAAGGAGACAAAAGATCCCCCGGAGCTGCAAAGATAAGCATCTTCTTCCCCGCAAACTTTAGATGTCGATCGCATCCGATTAACAGAAAGGGCAGTTGACTATCTGATCCCTTGCCCCCACAGACATGATAACGCTCTCTGCAGCATGATGTATCCATCCGTATGCTGTCCTACATTCTACATCTTGGATCATGACGTTTTAAATCAACTCCCCCTTCCCCTTCATCCCATAACCCTAGTTGTAGCATTCTCCCAACAACAACAAATCTATATCTATACCTATAGAAACCATCTCCTCTCATGATACCAACAATAACATAAAACAGTATCACTATAGAAGACAACACAACATGACATTCACCATCCTCCCAAGTACAATCACCCAACACCACCTCTCCAACGTCACCGCCATTTGCCTCCTCGCAACCCTAACCACCTATCTCCTCCATTCCCTCTGGAGGAAACACCACATCTCAAAATCCCCCGAGAGCGACCTAGAACAGAAGTCCCTGTCCCCCGCGTCAAAGTTCAAACAGCCTACCCGCAAACCGGGAGAATGGATTCCCTCCGACTTCAAACGACCCCCTGCTGCCCCATATCCAGACTGGGACGTGCATACCACCGAGCCGAAGCCCTACCGACCTTTCAGATACGGGCCGTAAGTTCATATCAGGCTTCTCTATCCGCAGACAAAGTAAAGGTGGTATAAGCTAACAGAGCGAATCCACAGTAAATACTTCATCACCATGGGCCTGCGAAGCATGAAATGGGACGAATGGATCGAACTCGACAACCACTACCCACGCTATCACGCCGATAAAGCACGTCGGATAAAAGAACGAGGAGCGAAATGTTCCAAAACCGCTCCTGAAGCCATGGACGCTGCCATGGAGTTACTGGAGGAATTGTACGTCACCACCTTCCTCTCTATATACATACATACCCCTTCCCCATATACCCGCTCATCCACACAAACGACATACCAACCATAACCCAAAAGAAACGAGAACAAGAAACAAGAACCCACCAACTAACCCCAAACCCAACACAGATCAACCTACCTCCCCGAACGCTACCCAACCCTCTTCCGCAAAACCCCAACGGGAATAACCAACCTCCTCACCCAAGAAACCCTAACCACCGTGCCCCCCCTCCCAGAAGACCCCATGCAAACCTGCGGCCGTCTCATCCAAGATGACCTAGCCCTAATGCTCGAGCGCCCTGACGGCGAATACTACCTCCTGGCCGGCTCCATCCTCCTCGCCGGCTTCTGGCGTCTAGAAGACAAATACGGGATGCGGTTATCAGACATCCACACCTCGGGCTCAGTACCCGGCTACAAAGAAAAGCTAGAGAAGGGCATGATGAATTTCTTCCGCCGGCTGCGGCCCGAGGACCCCGTTCTCCGGAATAACTATTTCATCCAGGTGGATGAGAGTCTACCCTGGTCGCATAGTATCGGGTCCGAGGATGGTGAGACGGTGTCGTGGAATACGGCGGAGAAGAACCGGGCGATTGAGCATCATTTTTTCCGCTCGGAGAGGCAGAGTTTGAGGAGACTGCCGAGATCCGGGGCTGTGGTATTTACTATTCGGACTTATTTTGAGCCTATTACAGAGGTGGTTAAGGAGCCGTATGTGCCTGGTCGGTTGGCTTCGGCGATTAGGAGTTGGGGCGAGGATGTGGCGCGGTATAAAGGGAGGGAGAAGTACGGGGAGGTTTTGTTGGAGTATTTGGATCGCATGCATGAGGTGCAGGTTGCGCAGGGGTTGGAGGTAGACAAGGAGGAGGAGGTTAGGAGTTATCCGTTTTGATTATGTTCTTTGGGTTTGGGTGTTCTTGTGTTTTTTTATTTTTTTTATAATGTTATGAGATATGATGACTTGATGAATGTCTCTCTTCTTGTTTTTTTTTTTTTTTTGGTAGCTGAGTGGTGTATCTTTATGAGAGTGTAAAGGGTATGTCCTCTATGATCGTATCATCTTCTGGCTCTGTAACTTGCCCCAAGTCTGTTCACGTCTAACATGATGTTTCTAATCTTAGACATATTAGTAGATGTAATGGAACCTTCTGTATATACCGAATGCTGGAGGCAGATTATCCTCCCAAACGCCAACCAATGCCCTAATCCTATACAAAAACCAGATCTAGAATAATTAGACAGCCAGCGAAGACGATCTTCTCCTTCTACGATTTGCAAAAGCCCATTCGCGCTCTTGACGCCAGGAACACTCGTCGCGGAACTCACAGATCCGGCACTTCCACGCATCCATGACTTCGACACCCCGTGGGTTACGCTCGCCGCGCCACCATTCCATCTGATCAGATAGATAAGCTGTCAGAGTCGTGGGGTCAAATAAGAAAGAGCGGCTACCCAGCACTCGGGACTGTGCTTCGGTTGTTAGGGCTGATGATAGGTATCGGGCGGTAAGAAGAGGCGATAGCACAGTCGGATAAGGCTCGAGTAAGCCCGGCTGAAACTCAGAAGGGATTGAGGGTGCCACTGACACTGATGTCGAGTGTGTGGGTGGGAGGAAGGTGAGCTGAAGTTGGTCTTTCATCAGTTCCCAGAGGCTGGTCAGGTTGTTGTGCGCGAGAAGGATACTAGTCGAGTCCTGGCTGCCAGAGGGTGCAGAGTCCGCACCGTACGATGTGCGTCGTCCAGCCGCATCTTCCGGGGTGAAATCAGACTCTTGCGAGGAGGATGTATCGAAAAATCGGTCGTTGAGACCGCCTACTTCGGCTATGAAGGCGTCGGTGAATGTGCGAGTGGGGTCCAGGCCATAGCGAGAGGCAAGTAGTTCGATGGACACATCATCACTAGTAGCAAGCCGATTGAGCATATGATAGTACATCTGGAGTTGAAGCAGGGTTGGCCGGAACGACGAGCTCTTCACTGTGGGGACAGAGGCACTAGCTCTGGTCTTAACGTCGGTCATATATATCCGAGGCAAATTGAAAGTCTCTGAAGAAGATTGACTGCCGATTCCGGAGTCATCTAAGTTGTCTTCTTGCTCAGCGTTCCAGGATAGGTCAGAGAGCCGTTTGCCACCTTGCGACGGCGACAACAGGTAATCCGAAAGCGACATTTGATACTCGGGCAGCACAGCCCTCGATGCCTCCACGTCGGCATAATACGACGCGGCCGTCGCCTCAAGATCCGGGTCTGGACACTCGTAGGAAAGCTGGTCAATGACCCCATTCACCAGCTCGCCATCTACCAGCCCCCATACCTCCAGCTCGCGAGTGATACCATATTCCCTCAACGTCCGAAGCCCTTGTATGATATTCCATATCCTCAGCGCCAGCGCATCTTCTTTGGTCGAAATCTCCACCGAAACTGTCGTATAAATCTCGTCCTCTAGTGTCTTATGTATCGTACTCCCCTGCTTCATCGCCGGAGTTCTCCTCTTCCTCCCAAACTTAGTCAACGTATACCAATACTGCAACTCACACCACGCTGGCGAAATCAAATCCGTGACCGAGAATGCTTTATTAGGCGGTTTCCGAAACCTCTCGATCGGCGACCGATTATCCGCAGCAGTATCTGTAACACCGGTAGTCCATTCTTTCTCGCGAGCTACATCCCTCTCGCGCTCCTTCATCCGGCCCTCAGTAGAATTCGGATGCTCAACTAAACGCTTCGTCAGACCGTCAGCGCCTCACAACAAACACAAAACACCAAAGCCAGGAAGAAAGGATACGGGGTTAATACCAAACGCGGCGCCACCATTGCTCGCCATCTGACCTGCTCTCCCCGCAACGGGACTCTGCCAAGTCCTTGAAACTTGCCATACGGGCTTTTGCCTCCCCAGTACCTTGGGCGTCCGAGGACTCGATGGAGAAACATGGCAGTCTTCAATATCGCCTACGGTGCCGTTTGTCTCCTTCGCGGCTGGAGTGGTCGTCGATGGTTGGGGCGACGGCGGCGGTGGTGTCGCGTGGAGAGAAGTCGCGTGTTCCTTGACGGCTTGGACGAGTAGTTCGTTCAAGACTTCCTCTTCATCCGGTGTGAAGTCGGATCCGTAGTCGCTACTATTGTCGGAGATTGTATCTTTCATTAAATGTTGGGAGGACTGTGGGCAGGACATGCCTGCGATCCTGTCGGGGAGTTCATGTCATTGTGATGTGGAAAGTGGCGAGGCTGCCGTTGATAAGGTATCGGTTTATGATATGCCGTCAACGACAGCTCCAGATACTGCAAACGCGTTCTTTTAGATAATACGGTGTCTGGGTACGCATAAGTAGAATAACAAGTATGAAGGACCGCGGTGTGTCTATAAATCACTGTTTCTCATACTCTATCAAGGGCGCTGTAAACACACGCTATCTATAATCCATCCAAACCCACCCAATGCTGCCGTATCTATAAATCTATATACAACAAGGAGAAAAACCAAAAGGGTATATGAAAAAGGACATCCGACCAAGATAGAACTATGTCTTCAGCGTTGCAGAGGCGCCGATACCAATCTGCGAAGCCGCTGCCTCAGCCAACTCGTTGGCCTCGACTTCTCGCGCCGCCTTCTGGTTCAACCAGCTGAGATACGTCTGCCATCCAACCGCAATAACTCCAGAGAATATATTCCGGAACTGAGGTGGCACGTACATGAAGCTGAAGGCGGTAACTGCAGGCCACAACTTCGCGCTGTTGGTGATACTGACCGGAAGCGCCTTCTTCAGACGCTCCCAGGTCTCTTCGAAAGTCGCGCCGGAAAGCAGCGAGTGGACACTGAAGAAGTATGTGTTGAAGACCGGGGTGAAAACGGCCTGTTGGACGCAGACCTTGGTGAGGATCGAGAGGAACTTGGATGCGAAATTGAAGTGGTGGTGAAGGAACATGAACCTATTGTACATCCATTAGCAGATTGTCCTATTATGCCTAGGCTAAAGACCGGGGACAACGTACCAGTTATACGACGGGATACTTGATCCTGCGCCCACTGTCAAGTGCCGCAAAGTCCTCCACGGGTCATATCCTCCTCCGGATGTCGCAGAGTCATTGTCTTCACTCTCTGTCTTTGACGACGACTCAGAATTTCCTCGAGCTGTATCCTTGGCCGACTTGTTATCCGACGGAAACAATACTTGTGCGCTCAAGTCACCGCACAAGTATACGACAATCGAGCTCCAGAATTGCGTCGCATATGGCCTTCTTTCCTGGATCCGCGAATATGACCGTCCGAGCTTGCCCAGAGGTCCCTCCACGATAACGTCACGCAGCGATCGAGATCTAGCACCAACGGGGACTGTACGCGGGGTGGCGGAGGAACAGGAGGATTGCGTCGGTGAAGGGGGTGCGGCTTTGGATTGAGCGTTCTGGGAGGATACATTTTTCTCAGAACCCTTCGGTGCTGAGCTGGTAGATCGATTTCCTTGAGGCCGTATGCGAGAAGGTAGATGGGACCGCGACGATAGCGTTGGCCGTTTGCCAAGCTGGGTGACAAGTGTATGTCTCATATTTTTAGTTGTGCTGTAGTATAGAAATCTCGCATATGGAAGGCGATCAACCGATTACCGTAACAAGCCTATTGAGAATAATCCCAAATAACCTATCGAAGCCCAGGAGCCGCACAAGAACAGCAGCACGGTCAGCAGAAAATCAGGCACATCATGTTGAGTCAAAATTGAATCAGCGCAGGAGATTTATTCCGCAATCAGCGCTGTCGGCACTGCTTCTCTGCCGAGGGTCGGGGGAAGGCGAAGGCAAGCCTTTCCGATCGGAAACAAAACTCTATTGGTTCTTAAGTCCGAAATTTAAATACGAAGGCCGAATCATCCACGATGCAATTAAAATAGTCAAGTATAGGTAGTAATGTATTCTCTCTAGCACGTCGCATACATACGCCAGATCAGATCCCCAACTCCACGACCTATAATGCAAGCAAACTGGAAAATATGCAATGACACGCCGGGTATATCAACATCAAACAATCGTCTAAATAATAAAAGTAGAGCCTTGGAAAAAGGGCTCAATGCATGGACACAAACTTTTTCTCTTCCATCACGCGCATCTCACATCAACACGTCGAGTGCTATCAACAAACGGGTATAAGGATAAATAGGGTAATAGATACTAAAAATTATCGACATAGTCGGTATCGGTATATTTAAAATGTCGGGAAAGTGAAGAACTTGGGGGATGTTTGTGCAATGATCCTTCTGTAGGGACTACACGAGTCAAGTTCATTTGAAGGACTCGCGGGTATGAACACGGTCGATATCGTACGGGTTCCCGTCATAGATCGACTGACGCGCAGAACCAGCGGTTCGAACCGATGACTTGGTGCGAATTTGTTGCACCGGCGGCAGCTCGCCAACATGCGAACCGCTTTCATCATCGCTACTATCGGAAACTTCGACGCCAGGTGCCTCCGTGCGGTCATAGGCTAGTTCTTGTTCCTTGTCTTCAGGCTCACCCTGCTGTTGCTTAATCTGCTGTGCCATCTTGCGCATAAAGGCATCGGATTCAGCTGCGTACTTGCAGCGCAGGCGGATCTTCGGGCCGTAAATATAGAATAGGAACGGGAACGGTACGCATGCAAGAGCCAGGAAGGCAGGAATGGTGGAAGCCCAATGAATGCCAAGGTCGCTGTACATATATGTCGTGAACAGCGGGAAGACAGCACCGAAGACCGATCGCAGAACCGAATTTGCTGCCAGAACCGACGCAGCAAAGATGGTATATGTGTCAATGAGGTAGGTCAGGATGCTCAAGAACACCAGGACCATGCCAAAACCGAAGGGGGCTCCTGCCGCGACGCAGGCCATCCAGTGGATAGACGGGTAGTTGGTCCAGGCAAACCAGAAGAGACCGATGGGAATAGCGAGAGAAGCAACCATGCATGGTGGGAGACGTGCTTCGGGAGGAGCGAACCCGTCATGTTTTTCGTCAGTCTTGACGTACCGCTTGTTGTCGATAATGCTGTAGGCCACAGCAGCCAGCATTCCGATCATGATACCAAGGAATGGAAGACTGCCCACACCCTGGTTCCAACCACGGACCATCTGGAACACAATTGGGTAGGCGGCGAAGAGCATATACAAGGTGCCATACACAATAGCCATATACAAAGAGAGCAAGAACACAATAGGCTCCCGGAAGAGTAGGATCCAGGGACGCGACAATGCGGTGCCGAACGCTTGCTTGAGACTAACCTTGCCCTGGTCGATGTCCAATTTGCTGAGATAGACCTTACCGGTAATCTTGGACAGTCTCTCGGCGCGGCGACGAAGAAGAACCGGTGCATACGTTTCGGGTGTGAGCAGGGAGGCCACGATCCAAACGAAGCCAGAAAAGGCTCCCAAGAAACCCATCACCCATCTCCATCCGGCATTCATCCCCAGGAAACCTCCGATGATAGGGCCGAGAACGGGGCCTATATGAAAGGAAAGTCAGTCCAATGATGTTCCAGAAGAAGAAGCAGCAAAACAAAAAGGAACCCACCTAGAAACGGAGCAGCCGCAAAAAGACTCGTCGCAACACCTCTCTCTTTAGCAGAGAACATGTCGGCAATGACACCTCCCGCATTGGTAAGAGGGGAGGAGCCAAACGATCCGGCGAAAAATCGAAGAATGATCAGCGTCTGGATGTTCTGGGAGCCAGCACTTCCACAGTTGAAGGCGGTTAAAGCGAGGTAAGTGATAAAGAAAATGATCTGACGACCAAACATTTCACTCAGAGGAGCCCAGAGCAGAGGTCCTATTCTTGTCAGTTGAAGAAGAGATTCACAAAAGAGCAAAAGGCATACCGATGGCGAAACCAAGGACGAAAAGTGAAACACCCAGAGTAGAAACTTCGGTGCCAACGTGAAATTGTTGTCTGATCTGAGCAACACCGCCGGTATAGGCTGATGAAACTAGTGCAACGGCCAGGGTCGAAATGGCAGCAAGCATAGTGATGAACCATTTCGTGCTATTGGCGAACTGCATAGGGTTTCGTGGATCATTGGGGAGCCAGGTGACAGCATATGGATCCTCTTCTGTTCCTGAACCGGGATACGGATGATCGATGACTTCCTGGGTCACGGCGCCCTGATCCATAACCATGCGCCAATATGGGATTTTCCGGCTCATGGGCGACTCGCCGGGAGCCCCCTTCTCGTTCGACATGGTGGAAAAGCTGTGTTTCGTATCACAAAGGGGACGGTGAAATAATGGCGTTCTAAGGATAAGAGACGGCGTCGTGCGACTTGAGCAGAAAGACGGACAAAGAGCGGCTGCGGCTGAAGTGTCTCGCGTATTAATAGAGCAAACAAGCGCTGTTGTTATCAGATATGATCCCTGTCAACTTGAAAGGATACTGCAATGGCCGAATGCGGCAAGTGTATAGACGGTATTGAAATTCAAGGTGTGGGCGACCAAGAATGTCGATCAGGAAAAATTAGAATAAAAATCAAGATTAAATCTATTAAAATGTTAAAGAACGATACCACATAAATCTAGGGCCGGAAAAAGTAGGACTCAAAGGGACGTTACAGATCTATATATACATCTGGGCCCAAAGAAATTTTTTTTTTCTTTAATTTAGTGACAGCGTCACTTTGTAGTAATTTACCTCGGATCTAAGCCGGTCTCAGGTCCTCAGGTACGGAACGAAGCTGGAATTAAAGGGAATGGGGCCAAATGCACCCGAGATCTGGGCATTATTCGTCGTTATGCAACGCATAGACTGGTCGGCCTTCAGCGGAGTGGATCCCAAGACCCATTTGTTAAAGCTCTGGATCCATGGGCTAACCGTATGCCTCGTGGCTTAAGGAAATTATCCTGGAAAGTTTTTTGATTAGTCGAGTTTATTCTTCGGGTGTATGACTCTTTCAGAGTGCGCCTCCGTAGGGCAATTTTTTTTTGATTACAGATCCATGTACCATGTATGAGTTGTGAATGTTCATAAAATTGTTCATAATACATCGTTGGTGACGTCTTATCTATCCAATCCACTCTGTATATTTGCTATCATATCAGGATATTCGAGTGAGGGGAAATTGCATCACCGTGTCGAAATAGCTTGATAAGAGCAGGTGACCGAATGACTCGTCGAAACTTCGGCCCGATTATTTCATCAGCCGCATCCAGGACTTCAACCCGTCACCATAAAAATTGCCCGCTTCGGGTTAAACACCTTTCGTATCCGATTTCAGCCACAGTTCATGGACTGACCTTGTTGCTAATAAGGTCACAATCACATAGCATGATTACCTCGTATTTATAACGGAGAGGGGCTCATTGTATCTTAATGATATTTGATGGGCATTATTCACCCGAGCAATATTCCTGAAGCCCCTCCAAGATTCCACGTTCCCGATACTACGACCCGTGAGGCTAAGCATCGGCTACTGTTCTTGCCATAGCCCCTTGGCAAGTCGACGGATCTTTGATATCCGGCTAAGGACGATCATACACATCACAACGCTTCGGATCGATCCCCTATGCATGAAAAGGGTTTAATCGACAGATCTTTCGAAGAGCAGTGTCAGCTGTTTGAATTCATTTTCAGAGACAGACCGTCATCAGGGCACATTAGCCTTACGGAGTAAGAATTCAGAGTCTGTTGGGGACTCGGCGTGTCCGTCTTGGACCCACTAGTGTTAGCCCACAACCCTAAAGCGGTTTAGCTACGGTGCCACTTAATCATTCTGGGCCTTTTCGAGCCACGCTAGAATCCGACGGTTAGAATCCGGTCACTACTACTTATGCTTGAAATTCTGCATAATGTCGGATGGAGAACGATGGGTCGTTGCTTATACTTTATGCTGGCCCAAGAACAACCTCGAGTCTTGGATAGAGATCGTCTATCTGTCCCTATTGTGTATGGCATGACAGGTCGATCAGCGCAACAAGCTGTCTTAACTCAGTCTATATTCGCTGCTTTCGAACTGCAACAGTTTATATTCGTGCTCCCACTTCTTGCCGCCTTGCCACTAAGGCAACAATCCATAACCCAACCTAATAGCGGCGGCGCTGCAAGGATTCATTATTAGTTACCTTTGCAGTGTCATTGACAGCTATTGGTTACTCGGTGGTTGCCTACATTTTACCTAGTAGAAGGAGGAGGTGCGTGGTTGCTGCATCTAGATCTCATATCGCAGGTTATATATCTACAAACTTAGAACCCCCGTCAAGATCTTATACTCGACCTATCATAGAATTTTAGCGGATACATAATACATTCCTATTATTGTATCATTTTTTTAATACTCATCTATACCCTCGCTTTTTCCCCCATCATGTTCATAAATTACACAGTCCTAGTGAAGTTAAGTCCTGTAGCATCGCCAACCACCAGACCCTCAAACCACATCTACATACGAGTCACAACCCACCCACTCATTGCACACTCTAACAAAACCCTTAGAACCAAAATCTAGACAACCGACGGACCAGTTGAATGTTCCGCCAATTCAACAATGACCCAGTTAACAAACAAACACCAACCAGGTCCCTTCAATAGACAACCAACAAGCAAGATAAAGAAACCAAAAAGAACCTCGGCAAATTCCCAACTCACGACAAAGGGGCCCCCTCTAATCAAAGAAATCCACGCCATCTTACAAATCCATATCCTAATTGACAACTAACCAATCTAACTAGAATCCCACTAGTTACCCCTCCGCCGATAGATTGTTTCATATCTCGTTTCGCTATCCAACCGAGGCACGGGACTTGCCCGTAAGAACTTTGTGAACTACCACTTTAGGGGGCTCCCGGATTCGGAATACCGGTCGCTGTGTAGGATGCCGACAGAATATGTATTATGTACGAGAATGTTTATTAATTTAGGAAATGTCAGAGCATGCTGTAGTAGATAATGTGATGTCACTATATGACCAGGTCTTTAAATTCATTTTTAAAAGAAAAAGTATTTTACCTATTGGTTGTCCGATTTGGATGACGTGTTACGCAAGTGCAGTGTTCCATGGGCGTTCAGTAGTACCCCTCCATATTTATTAGATAGAGGGGTTGAAAAGGTGTGGATATGCAAGATGGGATCACGTATATTATGTATACGTGTTTTAAGAGATATTTCAGAAAGCTAACGGCTCTCTATAAGCCCTCCTTGTTCCATTCCAAGATCGGGGGCATCCTGAAAAGGCCCAACTCATAAAACTGTTTCCAGCCATCACTTCACCCTTCAAAGGATGTACGATCGCAAACAATCCTCTCAAAGGAAAGGCCAGCCTGAGGTTAAGGGGTGGAAAAAAAAAAAAAAAAAAAAGCAAAGATATTTCAAATATCTGGTAGACTTAGTAGAAGTAGAACTTTTCTTAGCGGTATACTGAGCGCTCTGTGAACAGTACCCCAGCACACACGCCCAACAGACCGCGGCTGCGAGCGCGTCGCTGAAGGTGCGCGTCCGCGATAACAACCTTACTTCTTACTAAAGGAACAGCGCGAGATAAGTCACGACAGTAATGAATTGGATTATTCGTCATAGAATCTGCATTTCGAATCTATGCCAACCGGTGGCGATTCATGGAGAATACCACTTGGTCAAGTAAAATTTCTTAATGTACATGCTCGGATGCATCCCATGAGATCCAATCCACTCAGCCGCGTCGTCGGCAGCCTACTATTTATTGCGCAGCAAAACGAAAACTAATCCCAGTGCCGAAACCCATTGATATTCGCAAATGAAAAAAACAGAACCCATCATGTATCGCCAGTCGTGAAAAAGAAATAAAACCCCTAATCGCCTACCCAGAGACAACCAGAAAAACCGGACTCATTAGAGAGAAATCTAAGAGCGCTCACCACGGAGACGGCGGGCGAGCTGGATGTCCTTGGACTGGATGGTGACACGCTTGGCGTGGATGGCGCAAAGGTTGGTGTCCTCAAAGAGAGAGACGAGGTAGGCCTCAACGGACTCCTGAAGAGCACCGATGGCGGAGGACTGGAAGCGAAGGTCGGACTTGAAATCCTGAGCGATTTCACGGACCAGACGCTGGAAGGGAAGCTTCCGGATCAGGAGCTCGGTAGACTTCTGGTAGCGACGGATTTCACGGAGAGCGACGGTACCTTTTCATGACTGTTAGTGATGATACGATATAGTGGTTTGCCACAGGGAATAACTTACCAGGCTTGTAACGGTGAGGCTTCTTGACACCTCCGGTGGAGGGAGCAGCCTTACGGGCGGCCTTGGAGGCGAGCTGCTTACGAGGGGCCTTGCCACCAGTGGACTTACCTGGATGGGTGTTAGTGATGATGATTCAAGACGCGATGTATCACTCATGACGCGACCCTGGCGCGGGGCGACGGCACCACAAGAGGAAGGACAGTGAGGTTAAGACTTACGGGCAGTCTGCTTAGTTCTGGCCATCTTTATGGATAAGGTTTGATGGATTTAGTCGACTTTGAGATGAAAATAGATAAAAGTCGATGGTTGTCGATGATAATGTGTTGGCGGATGAGGAGATGAAAGAAGGATGGAGGAGGCGGGTGGGGGGAGGTATTTGTAGTAAGCGAAGGGCGGGTGGTGATCTGATGGCGTTGGCAGCAATTTGGGTGGCCTTAGCGTCCTTTCCCTTTGATCGAAAAAGCGCTCGGAAAGCAGCACACCATAAGCCGTGATTTCGGGGGTCACTTTTGGCTGCAGAATCAAAGGGTTACCTTACGGGCGGTCAGAGAAACCGCGCCCAAGGCAGGGATGAAGGGTGGTCAGTGCGTTAAGCGAGTGACGGACCAATAGAATCGTAGGATCACGGATCTAGCATGTCTCCCTGCCACGTCTTGATCCCAACCACCGGGAAGGTATGCGAGGCAATTCAGTAGATCAGAATGATAGTTTGTATGCTCAGAAATGTCTTTGATCTTTTCTGATCCCTGATCTCGGTCGTTGAGGGGCATTCCGTGAGGATCAAAGTTGATCGTAGCGGAATCACCACTTCTCGGTCACGTTGCCGACAGATCAAACCCGCCGGGAGGATTCTCGCTTCTGATTGGTCGATCCTCTTGCTAGCGCGTGATTCCAACGCCCTCCCCGCGCTCTTCCTTTTCCTATACAAATATCACCCGTCCCATGGCAGCTGTCCCAATCTTTCCCTTCCCATCTCTCTCCCATCTGTCATCCAATTAACAGCCTATCTCTCCACATTTCCTCACTCAACCTTAAAACAAGTTAACTCTTTAATCAATCATCAATATGTCTGGCCGTAAGTTTTTCCCTCTGAGTGAACATGAAAAACACGATCAGGATCGATGATTAACGCGTTTCTCTACAATAGGTGGAAAGGGTGGAAAGGGTCTCGGAAAGGGTGGCGCCAAGCGTCACCGCAAGATCTTGCGTGACAACATCCAGGGTATCACCAAGCCTGCTATCCGTCGTCTCGCTCGTCGTGGTGGTGTCAAGCGTATCTCTGCCATGATCTACGAGGAGACCCGTGGTGTCCTCAAGACCTTCCTTGAGGGTGTCATCCGTGACGCCGTCACCTACACTGAGCACGCCAAGCGCAAGACCGTCACTTCTCTCGACGTTGTCTACGCCCTCAAGCGTCAAGGACGTAAGTTGTCTCTGTTGATCCTCTCCTATCGACGCGTGTCTAATATGCCCATCAGGTACCCTCTACGGTTTCGGTGGTTAAATGCTTTCTTTTCTCGCCTTTTGTTTTCAGCCATCCTGCGCGGTCGGCGCGTCGGTTGTCCTTCCGCAGCAGTGACGCGACGGGTTGCTTTTTCGGGTTGGTTTACGGTATGACTGGGACGTTGGGGTGTTATTGATCTTTTACCATGGGTCTCTGGGTTTGCTTTTAACGTATTTTACTTTTACTATTACGCGTCCACTACTGGGTCTGCTAGTGTTCGTGATTGAAATTTTCTGTATCATAGCGGCCTTCATGCTATCGGCTGGTACCTCTAGAACCATCGCGTCATGAAAATGCGCGGTCTGGTATGAATACGAACGCTTGAAAAAAAAAAGATGAAAAAAAAATATCGTGCTTGGTTCCGTTTGCCTGCGTAGCTGCCCGTCAAGTCTTTGTTTTTGTTGTGCGTTCTCCGTTGTCGCGTGTTCGCTGTACGCGTCGGTAGTACGGGCGGTATCGAGGCTATGGTACTAGAACCTGTGTCTTCATGCTTCCTATATCCTACCGTTTTGTATAATAGCTAGTTCATAATAATTACACTCTTTGTTGCTTGGGTATTGCATTCTGTTGCATCTGCATGTAGCTTGCTCTGTAGCCGGTATTTAGTCCCTTTGCCGTTCTAGGAATTGATGGGCTCTAATGATGCGGTTGTATTTGGGTCTTCATCACACCCAGGGCGACTTCGATAAGACACCCCAGTATATGCAAGGTGTAAAGTGATTTTGTGCTCGTGAATTCTAATCTGGTGATATGTTAGATGCGATTTAGCTGTGTAGATGCGTGAATTATCTGTTGGGGGTGTATATGTTGTTGATGTGTGGCATGGGGGTATACAAGTAGGTATATATATATCTTTATGTATAACACCCAATATTCTTACGATCAAGATACACACCAACGAACAGCCACAGAGAAGGAATGGGCAAAAAACCCATATAGAACCTCAAAAGCAGTAGTAAATTATCATACGGAGCCTTTCTTTTACCCCAAACCCTCGACATATGCCTAAGATCAGTGAAATCCTGTATCGAGACTGACGTTCGTCAAGAGTTCGACATAGCTCGGGTCGAGTTGAACCCGGGCGGGGGTTCAACCCCTGCCAGGTAGTCGGTGGCCGAAGTGACCTCTGGACACTAAACCATTTCAGGATAATGGATCGCGGTCCACGGTCGCGGGTCAACTACATCAATATAGCCAGAGCACCTCCAAACCACTTCTCGAATTAACTATATTGTTTAACACAAACACGCCACGCGATTGACCAAGAGGCCTCAACTGGATAAACATGAGCCGTGTCAAGGCTAAGTGACCGACCTTCATGATTTTTTCTTACTTGTTATTTTTTTTTTTCTGCCCGATTCGCATCCGGAGTACATGCGGTCAACCTCGACCCGCCTGATGCATATTAGAACGAGCAGTCATACCAAAGCCCAGGATGGATTTGACGATATAGATATCCAGGTGAGAATGCGTATCTTGCCCATTCGATGCCAAACACCGATCCTCGCCGTGGAAGACATCACCGTACAGTGATCACTCACGAACACAACGCGAGAAGACACGGCAGCCACTCCACCTACACGTGACGATGCAAAAGCGCGTTGGATTACTCTGAATCCTAGAAGTGCACATAAACCGAGACATCGATGTGCTGGAAGGCGAAGGTGCAAGTCTATAATACTATGACTGCCAGATCGACAAGGAGTTGCCTGGTGGTTGTATCTGGCTTCTTCCGCTTAAGTATAATACGGTCGAGCTAACAGTCTCGATCACATTTTTTCCCCCCGCCCCTCTATAAAACGGCGGGCTAGAGCTATACGTTATTCTGTGAAATGCAGTATGCACAGCCAGTGACAACCCAGATAACTGATATAGCTCGATATGTAGCTGTCTTACCATCCCTGTTGGTGACCCACGACATGCATATGGTGACCGCAAAATCCGACCATGGCGAACAATCTCCAATGCTCCTTGACATATCGCCCAATAGACCACAAGAAAGCCAGACCCCTTGAGAATCGTCCGTTAAAACACCGGCTCTCGATGAAAATACCCCGGCCTCAATCCTCGTTTGCTTATCTCGCACACAGTATACCCTGAAGGCTACCCACACCCAGATGCTGTCGCCCTGCACTCAGTGGTCCGCGCAAGTTCTTCAACGCACTCTTCCCGTTGTATTGCACCGACGCATGCCCTGGAACTTAGGTTGAGGTCTCCTCCCTTCAAGATATCCACCACACCCCACTGGAATTCCCGATGATTCTTCATTACAACGGAGGACTCATCTACAAGTTCTGCAGAACATCGGTGAACCAACCAATATCAAAGCAACAACTCCACACACTACTTATTAATCCCCTCTACACCCAGTGCCAGCACCTCATCCACTACCCCCACTACCCCCACATATCGTCCACACTAGGTACAATACCTTCCTACCCAACAGACCGCAGAGGATCAGCCCTCACGGGTGGAACATCATCAAAGTACGAGCCCCGAAACTACCCATGGACTGTACGTCGGGGCACTTCGTCATACCTAGGCACTGGCAACTTTGCGTTGCTCATTCCATCAAGTCAACGCGGCAAGCGCCGCGCCACTCACCCTGTACTGGTACGCATCTGGCTCTTCCACCCGACATAGAACAATATGTATCAGCCGCAAAGTGCCTATGATGCTAATACGGGTGCTACCGCTGGAGTTCACTAGGCTATGACTCTAAGCATTCATGCCCATAGAATTAGGTCAGCCAACAAATGTGGCTTGGAGCGTGAGAAAATCAAGCTAAGCACAGGAAGAAAAACTTGAGTATAGAGAAATGAAAGTAACGGGAACAGGAGAACTAACGATGTAACTTCTGATTACTGAACAGCCCAACTCGTGCAAATGGGTCTGGATATTCTGAATGCCGCCGGAGTGCTACATATTTGACTCTCGGTGGCGAGTAACCTGGGTAATCCTGCCCCGTCAAGGTTGATATGTGTAACGCATAGGTCCACATGTAGTGGGACTGCCCCGACTCCCAAGTGTACTCTAAAGATGGAGGTGTAGTCATTGATCATACTAACTAGACGCTAATATCGGTCCCATGACCCGAAGCCAGGGATTCTGTGTGAAAGGAACCCGGTAAGTCCATAGCACATCCAGGCGAGCCTGGCCATAATCGACATGGAGGCCTAAGAAAAGAGATGGGTGGTTGGCTTGGTTGGCTCGCCGATGAGTGGCATTGAGCAGCCCCCAAAAGTCTCTTCCACTTCCCCAGGGAAGGGAAGGAAGGCATGCAGCTTGTCCTTTCCTATGGTGCAGCGTGACTTATGGGGACGCTGCCATAGCTCTCAAAGATATACAGAGACCGGGAAAAGTCCGGTTGCCGTTCTGGTGAAGGGAAAAGGAGTCGCTTTCTACATTATGCACGACGGGGATCTGCGCAAGTGTGACAGCATGCGCGAGGCTCATCAAGCCCAGGCAGGATTTTGTCAATCACCCATTCCTGGAACAGGTCCTCGAGTGTGTCCAATTATCTCACACAATTCGACACAATCTCCGACATTGCTACGGCAGAACTTCTGGAAATGGGGTTCATATCATCGACCCATATACGCTTGGGGACGTTGGACTTGCGCCCACTCGTGGCGAAACCCAGACTTACCCAGGACTGACAGCGTTGGAAGAAAAACTCGAAGTAGTTACGATGTCTATGCATATGTGTCAGTTGGATTGCTCAATGATGAAAAGACCATATACCAAATCGGCTTTTTGATCAGCGAGCTTGACGAAGTAGGCCCGCTTCGGCTACACGATGTCGTATTACGATCTTTGTAACTACAGCCATAGTCAAGTCATGCAGCGACCGCATGCAGTATCTCAGTCACAGCGAACCTTTCATAGGCCTTTGGTCGACTTAGCGTATTAGACTAATTTTTTTTTTCTTTCTTAAAGTTTGGCATGGAAGCTGTTCTTACGTCCTTTACCAACATCGCAAGCTAGCCGCCCGGAGAAGTAAACATTCTTTCATTATGGCAGAATGGGAACAAGCCGTCCGATGCTCTTCGCCATCGATTACCATGGATTGAGTACTTAAGTCGGATCCATACGACTGGGTTGGCTGATGGTTGTAGTTGAGATGTGTGATGGGTTTGTTGAACAGCAGCTCAGCCCTTCTTTCTAGCTTTCTAAACCTAAAAGCATTTGGAATTGAGGGTAGTAGAGTCGATACGGTTAGACTTCGATGCTATGAGTGCAACTACCAGGCAGTGCAGATCAACCTCAGCGACGAAGCGGCAGATAGACGGTGAGTGTGTTGCTTCTTGGATCTGATATTGGAAGATATCTTAACAATGTATGTCTAATGGTACCATGATGACTACGACTACAAACGCCATGTGTGGTTACAAGTACATGCGGATAAATTCTACATGAACGGCTATATGCCTGACAGCAGATTCTGATGTACTTGGTTTCGCCAGCTAGATCATCCGAGAAGAAATTCTTCCTGTGTCACCACCAAGACAATGCATATGCTAGCACTTCCCGGAGATTGCTACGAGCCAAAGTCATGTTTGACGGAAGGGAGTCTCATAGCATTCAAGCTCGTATCTAGTCCATGACATATAGGGAGTCGTAACTTGATCAGCGGCACTTCCAATGCCTTGGTGCAAGCAAATGTTTACAGACGAAGCCACCGTAACTGACTGGCGGTATCCTGTAACGGATCGCCTCTTTTCGCTGGTCGATATAGAATCACCCGCTTTGCTATGTCGCAGAGTCTGCTTAGTCTGCTTATCAATAGACAATATGAGATCCCTATATTAGTATCGTATATGAGCTATTCGAAACTTCTGTATATCTATCTACGTATATCTTTCCTGTCAACTGACAGTTGGGATTCTCTTGAGAGGGAACGGGGAATACACCTTCCATTCTATCTTATTGAAATCATGCTACCTTTGGCAATTTCGTCCCACCGGGTTTTGGGAGCAATGGCCCACACTTCCCAGGCTCACTTGTCGAGCAAGAATCTTCAAAGGAAAGAGAAGCCAGGAAGGGAAGTGATTCATAGGTAGTAGTGATCTTGTAATAGTACAGATCCATCAGTTACTATTGTCTGGCCAACAGCAGCCAGCCGAACCGTCACGGCTATGGGCATTTCCTTATCTCCAGACAAAGTAATGGTTCGAGAACCCTTATCTATTGAGATTGATCTGATAAAGCGGAAGCCCGCCCGTCGGATAGAGATAGCATTGCTATTCTCACACTGACGTCAAAGGCGACTTCCCCTTCCAGCAGCTATATCAGCAAGGTCTCCACCCAGCAAGGTGTCAACCTGGATATCGGTATCCAAGCCCTTGTGAGTGTGAGTACCTATTCAGCCGAGTATCTTCAGGGGATGAAGATAGCTCTGAGCGCATGTAATGCTCATCCTTCTCTCAACCGTGGTACAATAAAGACTGTCCAATATGCTTAGTATTTTTCGCTGGGATTGGTTGACAAAAGCATACAGGTCACGCGACACATATATCTAGCCATGGCTCTGATCATGAGTCAGTAAGCTCTAATAGCTTCCGAAGGCCGTTTGAGCCCGCGGAAGTGTATTGCTGATAGGCTCGTCTGTATGGAAGTTAGTCGCCACGCTCAGGCTTCTCTCAACGAGTCATAGCATCTTACAGGTTGACATTCTACCGAGCTAGCATGGTCCTATGGCTGTCCAAATTAGCAGATGTGTATAGGGTGCAACGCCACCTCGGCTAATTGTGAATCTCTTTCTCAGCTTCCTCCGTTTTGCCTCTCTTGCTGCCTATATCTCTTTTTCTTCTCTCCACCCCTTTTCCTTTTTTCGTCCTTCCCCATTTTGTTCAGCGCTCGTGACGAAGGAGACCGGTACTACGGGAATCTGGCATTTAGGCAGCCGCACCGACCCAGGCGTACGACGGACAGTCCGGTGAGCAGAGCAAAGCCTGGTCCATACTCGAACAACCAGAGATAAGCCGAGGCTCAGACCGCCGGTGACTCAACGCGTACTGTAATACCAAGATGGAGTCTGATTCAGATCATCTAAGTCCATACAGTAATTACCCAACCGTACTAGTATGGCCATGGAATTCGGAACCGAACAATCCAAGGACGATGTCGATAACAACATCCATCGTTGGTGGTTGTCCTCAAGAACGTATGTGCTAATAATAGAAGCGGTCGGAAAAACAATGTTTCACATGACACGAGTGCGTGATCAATGTTTAGAGCACATAGAAAAATCAAGGATAATGGATACTGTCTAGAACATCGAGATCGCTTAGTTTCTTGACGATCCGAAATCACAAAAATCCATTCGATGGAATGAGTCGTTAGCCGATTAGTATTGATGGGATGATAAGAGGGTTGAGTGGTGTTGTAGTGTGGGTGGTCGTGGTTCGGTCGCAGTCCAGACCATGGAGGGGCTGTGTTAAGGCTGTTAGCAGGTGGTCCAGAACGTCCATGCGTTCTCCTTCCTCGACTGGGAAGGTGGAATGGGATCCCCTAGTACTACAATAACTTGAATCTGCAAGGCATGCATGATGGAAAGAATGTTCTATTCTGCAAGGGATGAAAATATTGGATAATAGGAAATGTTCTGGAAGTGTCGATCGTGAGGCATGCATGTGACCTGTTGCAGTGATGAATCACAGAGCTCGATCGAGAGATATTGACTTGGGTTGATTCTCATGGTGTCTGGTTAGGTGTCTACTAGGTACTGCTTTGGAAGACAATTTCTTTCTTTCTTTCTTTTTTTTTTTTCCCCTACGATGTTGTTGGCGCTACAGACTACACATGTATGGTGGAAGAATTACTTCAATGCTAGATGAAAATTTTTCTTAGTGTTCGTGTTGAAAAATGTTTAGCCGCATACTACATAAGACAAAAAATTCTCTGGACATACAAAATCTAAGACAAAAATGCATCTAAAATTCTCCATACACGAATCAGCAGAAAAGTATATTCAGCTTCACCCACATGGTTGACAGAGTCGTGTTCCGCATAACGGCCGGAAATGTTTTTCCTCGGGGCAGATTTTTTTTTTCGGACATACCCCGTAGCGAAGGGACGCTAATCAATCTGTCAATGTAACCGTGCTAAAATTTTCGTTAACTAGGCTCGAATCGGGCCTACTAGAACTCGGCATGACCAGAGAGTCCAGTATAAAGTAGGGCACTCGGCTGTGCTGACCCGTGGTGCCGTGTTACCGAGAGATCTGATCGACCGGGCCGAATGGAGTGACCCAGTGACTTCTCTCCCTATCGTTCCCATGCATTTGAGGTTTCTAAGCAGACGGTGCTCTAGATATGCTGAGTAATTGATTTCTCAAGTCGGAAAAATTTCGGTTTGTAGAATGCCGTATATTAAAGCTGCAGAGAATATATTGACCAGTAGGTGTTAGCTCCGACCGGTGAGTCGGTTAGGAGATAGTAGGAAAAATTCCCTAGGTTACACTACGCAGGTCAACCGTTGCATTGACAGAATTTTCACAGCCGAGCAAGCGTTTCAGCTGTCGTAAACGTGGCCGATCTAACGGCTGATAGGCTCTCTTGGTCTGTTCGTAGCTACGACCAAAGTAGAAGGCTCAACGAAGGCATGCGGCAGCCAGCGACCAACTTGCGTGTCAACCACACCCGCCCAACCCATCATAATGATCTAAGTGGACATATGCACTGAGTGCAAATTGGTATGAAAGCTGATGAAGGGTGAAAAATTTTTCATTAAGTTCCACCTGAATTCCCAAAGAGGATAGAGTCAGATAGTCTGTATAATTGATAGGCAGGGATCAGACATATCTCGGATTCCCAACGAGTGATTTTTGCGCACAGACAGCAGATTGACAAATCTATGCCCAAATTTAGAAGGCTTCCAGAAATCCAATGGAAAACTCTAATCGCGCTTGTGCCGCCGATTGCCAAGCCCGATGGGATTCTGAATCTGCAGCCACGTATCAACTGCATGAGGCTTGCATTTTGGTATGACACCCCTGTGTATTGGTTATTCCGCTCGGTTCCATACGCTCATTACCACGTAATTTTACCCACCTGGACCCACTTGATGTGCACGAAGGAGCTCCTGATTTGTGTTTTCGTTTCAGTCGAGCCTCGGAATTACTACCACCCGTTCCACCAAACCATTTGGCTCACCCTTGCTGATATCCCAACGGACGCCCCACTTGTAGGGTGAGTTCGCTTCAACGGGAAGTGGCTGTGCTTTGACTACCTCCAGCCATTTGGAAATCAGGCGACCAATCCCCCTGCCGGATCTCTGCCACATGAGACGCTAGAAGAAAAAATTTTCTTCCATGCATATTCCACGCATCCGATCTGGGTTCTCGCACGTACGGAGTAGGACAGAGTTGCTCCCCATGAGGGTGGTTAAGGTGCTGACTAGTTTGGTTAATACCCCTGCTAGATTATTGCTTCTGCAGGATCAACACCAATAGAGTATCTCTCTTTTAGTTTTAATTTACTTTTCTTTTTCCTTTTTCTCATCACGGCAATGGATATTTTCAATATACCCGTGTTTTGGACTTCGCTTAGCCGTCTTCTTCTTTCTTTCCCCCCTTTTTAATTTTTTTTTTTCTTGTGAAAATTGTCTGTGACCATTTCAGATCGCCTAGATAGAAGCCATGATGTGATAGATATCTAAGTTTGAGGAAAGGCCCCATATGCCAACCCCATCTTCGTACCGAGAACCCAAACAGCAGTGGGGCCTTCTGTGATGCCATCATTGTATATGCCGCATAGGGCTGCCGTGGCATGTCAAGTCATTCGCACGGGGAAACGTCAAACATTGGAAAATTGGTCTGAACACCATGGGGCTATCCAGACAGACCCGCCGGCTGATACCCGTAATTTGACCACCTCCCGAGCTCCAGACTTAGCAATGCTACGCGAAAACTAACCTCACCACGTATGCAATCCTCCTAGGAGATATCCAAAGCCCCAATTCCCTTGCCCCGAGTAATAGCGACATCGGTCTTCAGCTCCGGTAGGCAACAACCATGGCTAAAGCTGAGATAACCTTCCGGCAAGTTAAGTCCTTTTACGTTGAGATAAAGACTTTGTGTGCTTGTACGTAGATCTTTTGCCACGCGTTTCAGCTGTCGTCTTGCGATGGGTATTTTGTGGGCCTCCCAACGGGTCCGGGGATTGGGTCACTGGGTAGGAGATTTTGGCTTCTTCGAGTATGGCGTGCAGCTCTTGTTTCAACCTCAATGCGAGATATACGAATCATCTACTCCTACTTGGATCGATTACGTTCTCTGGCGAGTTGGTACTTTTTTGTTCCCCACGGCTGTTCAGCACCCTCTGAATGCCGGTAGCCTGAGTTGTGTCCTTGGTTGTATCGACGGGAGCTTATTCCTAACCGAGTCTAGTTGTCTCTGTAGTGATTCATGACTTTCTGCGCTCGGGCATGGTCCGTAGGATTCGGGGATCTCTTGCTCCCCGATGACCGATGCCTGGGGAATGCACGTCGGAGTTGATGTATCAAGTTTTCCCACGTGAAATTATCTTCTACTACTTGTAGCTTAAGAATTTTAATCTTATTTTTCAATAAAAGTTATATTATATTATTTTATTTATTTTTCTCTGATAAACTCGGATTTCCTTTCTGAGACTAGCGTCACCAGCCTTGGATAGCCTACAATAGCCGTGACTCAAATCAAGTAACCATTCAACCATGTGCCATGGGCTTGACCTGTCATGCCATGAAGATGCGTCAGCTGACCAGGTAAGGAAAGCATGCAGTCAACGTTTGTTGCATGCCAAAAGTTGTTGGTTGTTGTCAAACTTTTTTTTTTTTTTTTTTCCCCTCCTCCGGCCGGAAAAGTCGAGACTGGCTGTCGGATCAGTGGATGCCGACAAATCACGCTACTAGGGTTGTTAGTTTCGATCTGAACCCGGGAACCGGGGTCCTAGCACCAGACGAAAGCTCCGAAACATCCCCGACAGGAACATGACTTATGCAGGACCCCGGGGGAAGATTTGTCAAAATTAATCTGACAATGTTGGCGGAAAGCGATAGTACATGCCAGAAGCGCCGACTTGGGAGGTCACGTAGGGGCTACGCCGGACAACTCCGACACTTTCATCACAGCCCGGAGCGAGTCACTAAACCCAAACAGGTAATTTCCACTTAATCAGACATGACAAATGAACATATACACTTGAAGTGGCAGTGCATGTGGATGTGGCTGGTGGAGTACTCCTACACAGTACAGGAGAACTGCAAAGGGAGATCTTCACAAAGGGGGCCCTCCCGGTGGAGTTATCCACTGGGGAAAGCCACAGCATCACCCAATACTATTACATGATTCCTATCGTTGTATGCAGGCGGTTGAACATGTCACCTGTAAGGGACCCTGGGATGTCGTGGCCCCATCAGCACCTTGAGACACGAGATCTATCTCCCCATGACAGTGGCTCAGCTCCCGCGTAATCGTCTCGATGATTGGCTGCCCTAAGCCCCTAGTGTGAATGAAAAAATTCATTTTAGCGCGGGTTGGGTAGGTATCGCTGTACTATATCGGGATCAGCCATACCCTCTAATGCTGAAGACCGTGTGGATGGGGACCCGCCAATCATTGAAGCTATTATTGAATATTTTTATGTTAGGTATCGTGGATGATTCATGATGACTTAGGAGTTTAGCAACGGTCTATACTATGTTAATCTAGTATTTGTAATAATAATAGAACCTACTAGATATGAGTAATTATTTTTATTTTTATTTTTTATTTTTAATAAAGAATAAATCAATAAGCAGTTTCTAGCCGAAACGGATTTAATTGCATATACTCCGGACACGGAGGTAAAAGTGAGTTGTGGCTGATGTCGACGAAAAGAATGATGCATAAAACTATGTATGGAGCAAGGGAGGGAAAATAGAAAAAAAAAAAAATTAAAAGCAAAAAAGGGAAGGGGAAAAAAAAAGGCTGCATTACTATTGATACAGGGATTGTGGCTTGTACCCTGAACAATGGGGATCTTGTCGTGATATTTCCCGTTACGTTTCGTAGGGTTGATTGACAGTGAGTTGGTCGGAGCCGGGGGGGGGGGTTTTGGACGACCGAATAAGCGAGCGACATTTGCTTTTGCTTTTTTTTGTTAAGCCAGTGAATTTATTTTTCCACAGCCGAGGGAACTTCGACCCCAGATGGATAATGCAGATCTAAGGCTCTAAGGCCCTTTTTTTGAGTTTTTTTATTTTATTTTATTTTTCTTTTTGACACTAAAATAAAATAAATGGGTAAATATTACTGGATCGCGGAAGTCCGGTGTAAGTACGGAGTACGGAAAAGAGTTCTAAAAATCGAGGCGGTAATCTTACGATACTAGTTCGTTGACCGGGTTGAGTCATGATCGCCCGGGGGGGATGCAGTTGTGGGTGGGTAAGTTATGGTAATGCTCGTTCGGTCATAGCCGGTACTACTAATGGGTCATGGACTTAGCGTCAGTTTCCCTCTGCAGGTCAAACGTCATTAGTAGTATCATCATAAAAGAGGCGCATCCCCCAAACCGAATTGACCTCTTTCCCTTCTACTCATTATCAACAAATCAACTTATTATTCTCCTTGCAACTTGTCACAGTTTATTGATCGATTGATCTTATCAAGCTCTAATCTTTCATATTCCTCAATTGTATTTTTCTCTCACCTCCACCCACTACTTGCACATTCGTTGTTCCTTATAGTAGGTTGACCCGTACCAAAATACCGTGACGTCTTGTCTCCATCTTTGACTTTTCCCAACTTACGACAACTTTCCCACTCAACCTTGGATCCACTCAAACCTTCGTCTTCTGGTAACAGATTTAACTAACCAGCAATCTCTAAAGTCTACGTCCTCTCCTTCCCAAGGATTCCTAAGCGACTTGAGTCTACTACCGTCTTGTCCCACCTCATTGGACTACGACCTGCCGGACGCTTCCAGACCCTTCGACCCACTCGTTATCGCAGTTGTTCGGGGATAAAGATATTCGGATCTTGGGCCGTTTGAAACTTTTCTTTGGGAGGCTTGGTGCCATACCTAGTACTTAAACTCTGGAACCTCCCCCAGTGGCGAATTCCCTGAACTTCTTCATCCACTCCGGCGTCATACCCTTGACGTCCATTTGTTGAAAGAGAACATGTCCATGCACCCTTCGATACGCAATAAGGGTTTTATCAGTGAATCAACCTCTACCCCCTTCATCAATTACCAAGACCCCGTTTTCATCCAGGACGAGTTCCTTCCCGACTTGTCACAGGAGGCCGCATTACAGTTCTACAACCAGCAACTACCCAGGCTCCAATCACCTTTCCAGTACCACTCGGGTCTTGAATTTTACTCTCCGCCGTCTTCCGCACCATCGTCACCGACTTCCTCTCCGGCCTCTTCCACCTCCCACCTGCCTGCGACAGCAACGGTTGCCGCGGAATACCCCAACTCCTTCGAGGCTCCTTCGATGACACCCGTTTCCTCCTACAACTCCTCATTCAACATTCAGCATACCGCGACGCCACCGTCCTCACAGCCATACTTGTCACAATATCCCCAATACCTTTTTGAAAACTCCCCAATGTTGGCGCAACAGCCTGTCGCAAACACCCACGGTTGGGAAAACAATCTGCAGCTGCTGAGCTCGGCTCGCATGCAGCACAAGGCATCACCGAGTACTTCATCGACTCGATCTGCACCTGCAGGAAGCTCATATCAGAGATCTAACGCTTCTACGCTGTCAAAACCCCTGCCCACTCCCGTCCAGACACCTATTCAGAACTCGTTTCTCACCGCGCCCTATCAGCAGAACTACGACACTTCTGTGCATGATGGTAGCCAAGCTGAAACGGAGATGGTGAGACGGGCTGTGATGGAACAGCAGCAGAAGCAGCAGCAACAAAGTCACCATCAGCATCAGCATCAGCCCAGTGATTACTCACTGGCACCTTCGGTATCTAGTGTGAGCCACAACTCACCCGTTACTCCCCAGATAAAACCGGAGGAACTCGATGAGGCCTCGAAGGCGATGGTCAATGGTGAGAAACGATATCCTGATATAGATCGATGGATGGATGATTACTTACATCTCGATGCCTTTGCAGACTACAATAACCACAACGCAAACAACCTTCCGATCGGTATTCCCAAAATCAACCGAACCATGTCGGACATCTACCAAGATGAGCTCTACAATCCAGCTCTCATGCCGACTCCCCAAGTCTCCAAACAGACCACAAACCAGCAGAATCTTTTGAACCCGTTCAGAAACGTCTTTGCTGATCGGCTGCAAGCCGCCAATCAGGGCCACATGACTGCACGGTCTCATTCTCCTGTTGTTACCATGAACCGGGATCGGTCTCCTTTCCGACAGAACTCGCCCCTGGCTGCTGAGTACAACAATGGGTTCCAGCAGCCGCAGATGGCGACCAGTGTGCCTATGACTCAGAATGTAGGCCAAAGCCAAGGAGAAGGAGAACCGAAGACCATGTCTCCTAAGGATGCTCTACTAGACTTCAACGAGGGGGATGATACCGGGATTCCTTTGTTCCCAACAAGTCAACCTGACTTCAACCTTGGTGAAGCACTCGGCCTACGACGTGCAAGCTCATCATCATTCCCGCAGTCGCAGAACTTTACTTCCATGGAGTCATTCCCCACGCAATATACTACACCGAATGGACTTTCCCAGCAGTACACCTTTGCGCAGCAGCAGCAAGACCAGCAGCAACAACAGCAGCAGCAGCAGAACAACCTCCTTCACCAAACCCCCGAATTCCCCGCATCCCTTCCCCACTTCGAGTCTACGAACAGTGACGTGGGGGTCAACAACGGCGTGGCTTCTCCGCCGGCACAGCCCACAATGGCGATGCGCCCGGTGAAAGAAGAGATCACCCGCCCTGAGCGCACTTCTGCGGACAGTGGTACTTACACTTGCACTTACCACGGCTGTACGCTTCGGTTTGAAACGCCTACGAAGCTGCAGAAGCACAAGCGCGAGGCCCACCGCCAGACTACGCCTGGCGGCCACTTGGTTGGGCGTGATACTTCCGCACGCAATTCTCAGGCCGGTCCCCACAAATGTGAGCGGATCAACCCATCTACGGGAAAGCCATGCAACTCTGTTTTCTCCCGACCTTACGATCTTACCCGGCACGAGGACACGATCCACAACGCACGCAAGCAGAAGGTCCGGTGTCATCTGTGCACGGAAGAAAAGACCTTTTCGCGTAATGATGCGCTGACCCGGCACATGCGAGTGGTGCACCCTGAGGTCGATTGGCCCGGCAAGCAAAGAAGGAGAGGCAGGGAGTAAGCCTGAATGGGGTTATGGTGTGAGGCGGGCATACCTCCCATTCGACTTCTACATCAAACATGGCTACAAATGCCCAATTGGAACACGACAAATGGGAAGATCCATTTTGGGGAGGTCCCTCTCAGAAGCTCCTTTGGGTTCCACCGTTTCCATGCCCCCAATTGAGTCAAGATGACGCCGGAAAGCCTCTGACGTCATGGTTATACCTGAAAGGGAAAGGACTCGCTACCAGGGCCGGATCGTCGGTTTGACTTCCTTTTTGGGAGTACTGGCCTTGTGGCCTTGCAGCCTGGTGCAGCACTCATGACATCATCTTCGATATCATTCCCGAATGACGTCACTGCTCAACGGGTCTAATTCTGTCGATGTTATCGGTCACTTTCGTTTTTTTTTTTTTTTTTTTTTTCGCGATTAGATGGTCTCTTGTGATGACGCATGCGGAATTCTTTTTCTTTTCGTTTCTACTTCCTACGGTACCATACAGGTGTGGTGTTTCGAATTCAGACAGCCGACTCAGTATTTATCATTTTTTAATTGCGGTTTTTGCGATTTGAGCATATGTGGGTCTTAGATTTTTCTTTTGTTTGAACTGGTTTTTACCACTGGTGGTTAAAATGGTCGCATCCAAAAAGAAGCAACATGGTTATTGGGGATTTGTTTCAAACTGATATTACACTTATCATATTTATTCTGCGGTTGGTTTTACAAAGTTCTCGAGCAAGCCGTGTCACGAAGCCTTTTTTTTTTTTTTTTTTCTTTTTTGTTACGATGTACAATATTCATTTCTTCATCCTGTACGATCACTATGATATGACGTCTGCATGTTTTTGATTTGCATTGGGCTGGCATGGGTGTGTTGGGACGGTGTACAGATTGTGCATTGGATTGGTGTGTACAGTATGACCAACATGTATAGATAGTCACTTAATGAACCGCGAGGTCACGAAAATCCTGATCCACCAGAGCCATACCTATTAGTAAAAAGTCCACATATGTTTCCTAGTAATCAAGCAATCATAAGCTCTGGAGTCTTTTGACAGCTCCGCCCTGTCAAAGCTCAAGCTTAGCTTCCCCTCACCTCGCTTAGCAAGTCAAGTCATCATCACCAGTACCGTCCACCATAGGCATCAAGTCTTGTCCCTAGGATACGAGCACGACTACGTATACTTTCTCTGGCGAGAACCAAATGAAAAATCAAACAAGATGGAAATGAAGACCAGCCGCGTCCTTCCCACTGGACATCTCGTTTCATCAATAGGATCCAAGCAACGGAATCGTCAACATCATCACCCTGTCAATCGTGTCGATCTTCCCCGCCCAAGTCCCCACTGCAATTACACTGCGATCTTACCGTTGTCTGCGATGATTCGTCAATGGATCTCGAGTCCTTACGAACATGATCCATTGATGCATGTAACTCCTTTATACTCATTAGTAGGGTCCATCAGTAATACAGATGTCATTATTTATCCATAGACACCCCAGAAATACTCCTAATAATGGTATGTATGGAATGAAAATTGACAGTTAAATTTCAGAAATTAAATTCAAATTAAAAGATATACGTACATGAATTAGAAACTTCTTAGCCACGATTCTATGCGTAACGCAATGTGGTATGCGAGGGGGGGGGGAGGTTTGGGTTCAAGTTGGGAACCGCGCAATATTGACGGGAAGGAGTGGGGGTTGAAGTGAAATTGAATTGGATTGTTCTTTTGAGACATTAGTTGTTGTAAGTTATTCATGTATGTATCCTAGTACTATCATACATACTGTCGGGTCTGCAAGTATGTACACAGGATGGTTTTTGTGGCGCAGTTACTACATGACTAGTTGTCGATAATTAAATTTATTCATTTGTATGTATCTATTTAATTCTAATTCACTGTACAATGCTGTAGATCTGAAACTGAACTTAGATTTGAAGCATTTTTTTTTTTTTTTTTTTTACAAATTTCCTCTCTGAAATTGGACAAAATAAAACAAGACCAGAGAAGCAGAAGGCATGCGTGTGATCTCAGATCTCCTTCAGTTTGAGGTAACTCCGATATCATAATTCAGTCATAAGCCTTGTTTGAAGGTACAACTTGAATCATGGGCAAGTAGTTGGGAGTTACATACATACATACATACCGACGATGGGGAAAAAAAGGCGGGGGGGGGTTTCCGTATGTACACTGTACAGTAATGTAAGATTTGATTTCCTGCGGCGTTGATCATGACGACATTCCGCAGGGGGTGTCTCGGGTAGAGATCCACTGGGTTGGATTATTTGGGAGAATGTGGCTGAGATGGCATTCCTGGCTTTTATTTTGAACTCTTTTTTTGTTTATTAATGTATGTCCTGTACTTAGTATTTATGTGAATTAGAATATGGTGAATTGTTCTATGTATTTCCTTGTGACTAATGAATGTATACCTAACTAGTTAGTGACGAAGTACTGTAAGGTACTGACTGTCCTGTAGTGTAAAGAGTCACAGGATCTCTCTGGTGGGTAAGGTACCCACCCAATCATCTCACATTGAGTTCTATCTAAGAGCGACTATTTGTATTGGCTCCGTTCATGAAAGGTTTTGGGAGATCATTTGCAGACAACGCTGAAACGCCCTGTTGGTCGTTGTGGCTTGGCTATTTTGTTAGGAGTCGGTTTCGAAGGTCCCCGTGGGATCTATAGTAACTTAGTTGTGGATCTATTAGTTATCGCAGATGATGATCTGCAGTCAACTTTGAATTACTAATACGGAGTAAAGAGGTAGTCTTGTGGGGGTCTGTTGGCTTTGGATTTGAACTGTGTTGCTGCTCTCATAGATGATCGCTAATATACTATAGCTTTGTGGTTATTATACACAATATGAAGAATTCTTCTGGAAGAGTACCTTCTACTCAAAGATATTATTCGCTCTTGATACCTTTCTGTCGTGGAAGATTCTGCGCTGTAAGTATTGTCAGGTGTGCCTGGGGAAGTGTTCGCACATATCACCATTGCTCTCACTTGGTATCTTTTCCAATGAAATGAGCAAATGCCCTGATAAGTGATTACGCATGAGCATAATGCAAATACTTTGACTTTCATCCACTGCTTTTTAAAGAGCCTCTTGCTATCTTACCTCACTCTAATCCTCAACCATGAGCAACACAAAAATATCTACCCAGCATTGCTTGACATCTATCAGCCCTTCATTCTGTATACCCCGGCATCATGTCATCCTCCTCCTCCATAACTCTGACTGCGCTTTTAGAAACCTCTGACTCCTACGTAACTGATCCAAATGGCTGACCTGCTACTAAATTGCTGAGTTTGCAGTACCTGATGAGCTGCTCCCCGGTTCTTTCAAAAGTTTTCGCGGGAAGTGGCTGCACTCGTGCTGATGGATCATATCACATACTTGGTGGTGGGAAGACTAGAAGGACATATATCTGTAGAACAACGCTGATTGATACCAGTACCGAGATGGCCAAATCAAGCTTGACACACTCTCCGATACTGGTCTAATCCTCGATGAAACTTATGAAGTCCCTTCAACGTTCAGGCCTCCTCGGTGCATGCTGCCGATGTTTTGCCACTTCCTCAAGTTTTCTGCTCATCACTCCAGTGGAAATTATTGTGTGTGTGACACCAATACCCCATCTATGCAGATTGCTAGCTGATGATTACTACTCCCTTACTGCTTTGGAAGCACTTTAATCAAGCCGTCCATTAATTACTCATGAATCATGATTATATACCGGAGCTGTGGAAGGGTGTATAGCAGTCTATTGGATATGCAATATGAGAATAATCATCCGTTAAGACTATGCTCATTATATCTTATACTTAAGTCGAACACACTTCGCGATATCTTCCTTTTAATAAGTCTTATGCCGACAACAGCGTATTATGTAGGTATTAATTGGAACTACACTCTCTAGCCTAGATTAGGGAGTGTCTTTGTACCTGTTGAGAACACTCTATATTCGTATTTCCTCTTTGATCTGCTAAACGGGCTGATAAGTCTGTTATTGTACCATAAAATCTTCTGCAGCGGCTTTCTGCGTAGCATTTGAGCCTTTTTAGTCTCTCCTCTGGTTTCCTGATGGGATATCTGCGAGGTAAAGGGGAAAAACAAACCCATTGGTACGTAATTATTGAGAGATCGAGTATAGTGATAGTATAGCAAAAAGAAAGGAAGAGAGACTACCTTTCGGATTGATTTATATAGTCTACTGTTCCAGTCTAACCAATTCAAGATGTATTAACTCCCACATTCTACCTCCGCCTTGAGTAATTATGCCTAGAGTTGATATTGGGTCGGGCTGGTCGCTTGTCAGAGCGAGTGATAGCACCGTTAACGAGTAACCCCTTTTCTATAAACTACGCTAGTAGTTTCAGAGCCAAGGGCACCGCGCAGTACGCCACTATCGACGAAAAACGCATTTGACGGTGCGGGAGTCAGCTGGAATACCTTTTAGCATGTGTCCGAATTAATCCTGTGATGTAGCATACCATGCCGGTATGAGCTAGGAGGGCGAGGAGAAGGGTGTTACTAGATATTTCGTTAGCATTTGGTGGTTCTGTCTGCGTTTGATCTGGATTCTGATATATGTGTGGGTTGGACGAGTCGTGTTTAGAACTGCCTTTCGCTTGGGAACTATCGTCGGCTTTAGAATTGTTTTTGGATTTGAAACTATCTTATACGTTAGTGGTCTGCTATTTCAGTGGTACTGTAGAGTAGGCTATCTAGGTGTAGACTTACGGTTCCATTTTTGATTTGGGTTCGAGTTGATAAAGAGGAGGAATAAATGCTACCTGCTATAGTGGAGGCTCCGACTAAAGGAATTTTATCTAATATAAGCTAAAATCAGCTGGAGTCAGAAGGTTCGATCACAATAGAACTGCCAATAGAGCGAATGCAGTGGTAGAAGCGCGTGATGGAGATGGTAGTGAGAGCTGGGCTACTTCCTCGCGTCGAAGGGGTAAAGCCATATTATATTTCTATGAGTTTGAATCATTCTAGGGGTGTGGCCTAGTTTTTATTCATATCCATAGTTTTTGCCATGGTAGTGCATCTATACTTGGGAAAGTAGGAAAGCTTGAAACTCCGGTTAGGAGTATGTGCGCTCCTGGCGGCCACTCTCCTGTCAGTAGTGACTGACGAAAAATACATCCTTGAATCCAAGTTTCCTCATAATGCTCTTTCATGGTCGACTCGAAGTTGTTGAGCAAGTTGATCATACCTCGCACGCGGAATGGAAGCATCTGGTGAGATTCTTATGACGCCTTTATTACCAGTACAAAATTTCTTTGGATAGGTATGGATCTTTGTGATATAGTGGTAAGAAACAGCTCATACAAAGTATACCTGTCAATATATTGCAAGCATACCACCGGCACATTCGACAGCTCAACAGCCGACTAGAACCCTGACAAGCATCAAGGTTAAATCAATACACCCAGCACAACTCGCCTGGGGAGTTAATAAAGCAATGATGCAAACATAGCCATGGATGAGAGGTTCTACCTCTGCACAGTCATCCGTCATAACATATTCGTGCTTGAGGCTGGGAGTCGACGCAATAATAGATACTCACCAACTATGACACACAACAGAAACCATTTCAGTAACCAGCAGGCTCTACAATTCCGTAGACAAGCTTCCTAGAGTTGTGGCTTGCCGGGCCTCGTCATCTTCAACCTGCGTCAGGTGTTGTTCAAAACTACCCCCATGACCATACCGGCTGGTTGTGTTGGTGGAGAACACTGATGACGAATCAATTTTAGCCAAAAATTTACAGCACGGCATAGATGCTTCGAGCTGTCATTCTGCATGCTTTCAAGGTCATCGTAAGCCTGCAGATCTTCGGCCCTGATTAGTGGTCGGGAGACAACTTCCCTTCTCGCCTTGAACGGCCCGAAGGAGCACGTCTTGACCAGGGTCTCGAATGCCTTTGCATTAGAGCATTGGTAGATGCAAGACTACTCCGAATCTGGTCATCTCCGGTTTCACTAGATTGTTGGATTCTCCGAAGTTTCTCCTGGCTTATGGAGTGCAATTGCACTGCCGGGCTGTGTTGAGAAGAAGCAAAAAAGAGACTCCGGTGTCACCGATTGCAATCATGAGGTTTTATAGGCGTAATAAGACGTGCTCTTAATCATAGCTCTGCGTGTGTCTAGAACATGAACGGCTTTCGTAGGCAACTGCAGTGGTACATGGTATACATTAGTAGAAACACGTCTCGATAATTTGCCGAGGTCTATGATGGGAAGAAAGCGTCTGCATTATCAGATTGCTCTACTGCCTTTAGAGGTCAAGTATTCTGTTTCGTACTGCATTTGTACTGAAAAAGAGCCTAGAGAAAGAAGAGCAGACGCACCTTGCCCAATACTTAAGACGTGAGAGGCTTTTATTATTTACACGGGTGCTGGTAGCTCATGATCCTGGGAAAGGCCACATCGCTCTTGCTTCGTCAGGGGATTTTTCTCCAGCCATTTGCTCTATGTACAAAGATAAAAGCTCCCTGTTTTGCCTCCGCTTCTCTTCAATATTAAGTTGTGGGGCGATCCAGCCTTCAGCATCGGTATCCAGGCATTCCTGGGCGAGGTGTTGGACCTCGTGCCAGGCTTGATATTTAGCAAATTGATGTTCGTGTGTGGCAATCTCTTCAGCACTGAATGAATAAGGATATTGACCAGTGAAGCCCAAACTGGACCAATTCCAGAAAATCTCTATCAAACATTCTCGCAGTGGAATGGCACCAACTTCAGAGACTTCTCCACAGTGGATGAAAAAATCCCGAAAAACACGGGGTATATTCATGGCGTTATGTGCAACTCTGTTTTCAAGGCATGTCGCAACTTCGTATGCTTTTGCTAGCTTGGACTGGGACCATTCCTGTAACGCAGTAGTTTTATATTCTTCGTCCAGTTCCCTGAAGTCATCAGGCAGTTCAGGTTGCACAAATCCTTTGATATAATTTTGCGGAGGCTTTAGAAATACTGGCCATTGGGCTTGAAGAAAGAGCGGAAGGATCGATAAAGATTGAAAATCAATTAGGGATACTATCCTTGAGCTCTCGTCAGGTGAAACAAAAATATTCCCCATATGAAGGTCACTGTGCCATAATGTAGGCTGAGCAGACTGGGATAACACTGGGTGTGAGTCCAGCATCTGCATAAGATCCATTGCGTACTTTAAAAGCTGGGTTTGTTCTTGAATGCTTCCTCGACTAAATATTGGTTGCTTATTATTCGGGTGTGTGCTTGAGATCTGATATAGCTCTCGCATTGCAATTGATATCCCGAAATCTGATAGGGTATTCCCTGTACGATCATTAGCCTGAGCACATGGCAGAGTCCGGGGGTACTTACAAGGCCCTTGATCAAGATCCCCACTTTGAGTGGAAAAGTCCGCAGTGGAATCGGTACTAAACGAGCGATCACAAGAGGGACCAATACGGAACAGGTTGAATGGATCTATGCTTCCGCTGAGTTCTTGACACTGCAAATGATTCACATCTGCTTGACGATACAGTCCACCATATGCAGGAAAGCGAATAGCCGCAAGCTGAGCCTCGAGCTTCGTTAGGTTCTTTATAAGCTTCAGTTTATCAATTTCTGCCATCTTTCCCCATTGCTCAACCAATGGAACCCCTGCAGCCTTCTCCATTATAATATATTCAGCACCCACAGGGTTTGAATCGTCTGAAGACCAGGAAAAGACCCGCGGGGCAGGAATACTCGTATACTTCCTCACTGATATAACGTACGTATGTGAATAAGTGGGGTAACTAGGAGCAGGAATACATACCATATTCCAAAACGCCTACCTCACATGCTGTTGTAAGGGAGGTTGGTCCAGCGATGCGACAGGGAAGCTTCGCAATGACTTCCTTTCCGTTTTCCTTTTTCATTAAAAGAGCTTTGCTGAAACCCCCTTCGAGCTTCTCGGTAGTTACAATACGAGATGAGTCCCCATCGACCAAAGCAGCAATGTCACAAAGAGCATCTAAGTCGAACTTCAGGTAGCGCCGATCAAGCTGGTGTTGTTCGTCGACAAGGAAATGACCATTAGTATATGCAAAGAGCTCCTCGCGACCGATTGGCTTGCCTGATTCAGTTAATGGGTGCCCGCTGTTATGGTCCTTGTTATGCTTACCACGGCAAAGTAGGGATATCCGAGCTATTTGCGGCGTACGCTGTATCAGTTTGAGGCCTCTAAGGAAGAAAACCATGATAGATAGTAGAATACTGAATAGTCGTGTCGCTTCCTTGTGTAAAGAAACATCAAATAGGTATTAAACCCATACTCACGTGTCCGGCCCGATATGTTATCCCGAGCCAAAAATGGGTTCATGCTACAAGGCAATGTTAACCTCCGACATTGCCTCAATAATACTCTGTCTATACCTTGGCTCTTTTTCCTTGTTTTTGTTTGCTTGGTCCTCAATATTGGCCCTGATTTATCTGTCCTGGTAAACCCCTCAGAATGACCAAGACCTCGCCCTTGTTTGAGATGGGCTGAAGAGATCCTACCATCATTCTGGGGCAAAGAGACACCCAAAAATGGGTTAAAAAAAAATGGAGAACAAAAAAAGCAAAAGAAAGGAATAATCACTTTGATCTGGGCAGAAATACGGAACCAAGGCTGATCCTCTCATGTTGACCAAATTTGGCTGTCTCACCGTATAAATGGACGACTTGGCGACAGTTAGATTGAACAAATTCGAGGTAGGCAAATACTTCTAAGTCCTTGGCACTTGGTACATAACTATTCGCATCATATTTCTTATACTAAAGATAATAAGCTGGCTGTCTGGGATATACCTAAGCGCTAGTCTACCAGAGTAGCGAACGATAGCCCCAAAGGCCACGTTTTCTATTGCCAGCACCACACGCGCAACTGTTCCCTTTTTTGCTCTCACCGAGTCGATCGACAAGATGTCCCGCATCCTTCACATTGCTATAGTGACCAACTACGGATACAGTTCTCCACCCTGCTCCAAATACGTGGGGAAGGCTTCCTTTCTCACGTATGTACATTCATTTTGACCGCTCGATGTGCTTCAATGCCTCGAGCCAAGAATGGCAAGGACTATCGTTCCAGCTCATTCCACTAGTAATCACACAGCGATTGGCCGACAGCGAACATGACTATACTAAGCGTTATAAAGCGATTATCGATCAGCTAGTCATGCACGCGTTCGAAATTAGCTAGTAACCGGTACCCTTTCCGCCGTCTACAGGGATGATTAACCGGAAGCTACCGGGTTGGATGTGAAGTTCTACTTCCACCGCTCTATTGGCCTGATGTTTCGAGATAAAATCGAAGCAGAAGAATGAAAAATGGCACAACAGATCATTATTGGGCTTGAAGCATAAAACTGGAAGAAGAATGGGAAAGAAGGACACTACGTCCACCGTTCTTCGTTTGCCAATTAGATTCTGAAGATCTCAGTTTCAGGTTCTCTTTAACCTTATTTTTATTCCTCATGTTCCCATACATGCTACCCACTAGGAGAAACTAATCTGAATCCACCTCCGTTTGAGTTACACCGGACCGGTATGGCTTGGCTCCTTTGAGAAGTCTACGTCTCGCCGACCCGCCGGAGTTTGTGGCTTAGTCCTGTTAGTGATATCTACCTCGGCTTTTTGCTACGTTTAGCACATCGTTCAAGACTAATCGATTTTCACCCAAAACTTGTCTCAAAATGGTAAATGGAAAGTGAGACAGGAGCGTATGAGCTTCTTCCTTGACTATGAACTTTGGCTAACCTCTGTTGGAGGAGCACTTAGGTATTACTTTCCTTGTCCACACAAGGAACGTGAACTTCTGAATCCCCCACACTGACTGGCATCCGGCCGAGGTCGGTAAGATTTGGAACAGTTTGAAGTTATCGATGAAGCTGAGTACTTCTGATGGATAGGCAGTTACAGTCGTCGGCTCCGGACCCGCCCAGGAGTCATGCCGATAACGTCGATCAGCAACAAGAACTTTTCCCCTCCTAAACCCTTAGCTTCTCTACTATGTATATCCCGAGATTCGCTGGCTGCCTACAGTAAAAGGATCTAGTGTAGGTACTCCAATCAAAACTACCTAATCACGATACATGCATAAAGGTGCGTAGACCCTGCGAATCACGTGGATAACCCTAACCACATACTTTCGCAATATGTACCAATCCAGATAGGCCATCAAAACTGGGGAAAGTGGACACCGTCAGCCCATTTTTATTTTTTTTATGTTTAATTTTTTTTTATTCTGCTCGTTTCTCCGAAGATAATCCCAGATATGGTACGAAAGGCCATAAATAGGGGAGACAGATGGCGGATTGGTTGAAGCTGATCTTTTCCCAGTTAGGGAAGACAGTTCTGCTTGGTACTCTAGACGCTGTCATTGCTTACGAGAGTATGGAAGACACAGAGGACCCTCTGTAATTTATTTTTAACGCTCTTTACCTCTTTTCTTATCGGTACCATTCGCCAAGTTCGCATCACAAGGCATCCGCCATTCGATCTAACGTACGCGTGGACTTCCGCGCACGCTAGATTGATTGTGATTGCATACCTTTCCTGCCTAGACCACGGGTATGGTGCAATATCCGAGCAAAATTATAGGGTATATCCAGCAATAAAGCTATAATCCTTGTTATCGTCGTTATCGTCCCTTGCGCCACCTTTCCCATACGCATTTACTTGTTCTTCTTGGCCGAAACCATCGCGCATCTTTTTGAAACGGTCTCTTGTAGATGCCGAGAACTAGCAGCATCTGGTGATTGCTCGGGACGGACGGTAGGGATGGCACTATGCAAACTCAACAACGTTAAGCATACCGTTGATCGACGTGGCCGGACCGTTGCTAGAAACCATCTTGTTCTTCAGCCGAGAAGCTAAACCGCTTTGATTTCAACCGGACAAGTGGGTCGGGTCTGAATCCTTCAATTCTAGAATTCAGAGCGGCGGGTGACAAAGCGGAATTACCTGTCTGGGGCCTTTGACGATTTGTCCGCTTGGGGCGCATGTTCAGAAAATAGATCGAGCTATTTAATGTCCTATGATCTGGAGGCATTCTGATTGTACAGTACCATGTGTTTTTAGCGTGAAGGAAATGCATCAAGCTAGTCGAGGCCCTTAGCGCAACCAGCAAGTTCCGACTGTCTCTTGCTTCCGATGTCAGCTCCACTTCTCATTGGAGCCTTGATATGCATATCTTGTTCAAGACCGGCTAGGGTTCAGATCCTTCTATTGCAGACCTTCCTCTCGCACCCTCCTCCGCAGTCGATCACAATTGCCTCTCATTGAGGCCCCAGATGATGAATCCTTCGCTCCGTTTGTCCTTGCTTATGGACGGGCATGCGGCTACCCGGTGATTAGTTCTGGCTTGAGACTACCCTGAACAAAGAGGAGCCAGTAAGAGGTGTAGGACTGGTGTTAACACTAGCTAATGAGCCTGCAGATGAGGGACATTTAGAGTTTGCGAATGTTGGACCCTCAATTGAAACCTGACGGGAGAGGAAGCGGGTCTCGGGATGCCAATCAAACTCACTGATACGTTAGATTGTGTTTTAATCTAGAGATTAAAGAAAACGGAAAAGTCCCCGGTTGTGCTGCAGAATAAGATACGCTGGTTATCCATGCGAGCATCATCTCCCCTAGGCTAAACCATCCATCCGATATCCGACTGGTTTAGGTCTAGCGTGATGCCCGAAGCGGTCACGATCTATATATTGAATCCGTCGCTCGCCATCCAGCCAGAAACTCCGAGTCACTTCACAAACTACACTACTCATATAACCTTATCCGCAATGGTCTCTTCCTCCGAAGTCCCAAGTCACTTGTCCACCAGTTGGAAAGCCACCGAAGCCCCTTCTCGACGTTCATCGCCCCGTCTCTGCTCCGCATGCGACGCTTGTCGTCAGTCTCGCGTCAAGTGTACCGGCGGTAATCCGTGCCAACGTTGCGGGAACAATGGTGCAAATTGTCACTACAGTGTTTCGTTGCGGAATGGAAGGCTGAAGGCGAACAGAGTGCAAAAGCCGGCTGCTCAAGCTTCACCTCCCTACAGCGGTACTCCTACCGGTAGACATGGCCGCGGAAGCTCGAGAGATCTGCATATGAACGACAGCCTAAGTGTGAACCCAAACACAGTATCCCCTCCACAGTCTGTCTCGCACGATGGGTTGTCTTCATGCGATAAACATTCCTCCCTCCCGGGGCCCTATTTTGCAACTGGATTGAACCACAATTCCTTACTGCAAGTATCAGTATGTCTAGTCGCGTTGCTCTACAAGGTTCATACTGACTCCGAATTAAAACCCCACAGGCTGGTCTGAATGTTCACCACCTATTTAGTACTCCAACGGATTCTGCAGCCCCCAACTTGGTTCTGTCGTCAGATATGCTTCTCGGCATAGGCCTAGGTTCTGGCAGTTCCACAGATGATGAGTGGAGTTCTTCGACTGGAATCTCTGGCTTCAATCTGCCACCGAGCCCGTTTGACTTTGGTAGTCGGCCTCGCTCAGCTAGATGTGCGTGCATGAGGGCCCAGCTGTTCTGCATCGCTGAGCTAAGTGGGGCTCAAGATGACATTGACCAGATGGTCCTGGGTTCCATTCTGGAATTATCTCGTCAAACGTGTGAACAAATTAGACAAGAACTGTCCTGTCCGCTCTGCACAAAAGACTCTATCCGATTTATCATGACCATGGTTGCACTCCAACACCTTACAAACCTCTTTTACAAGGTGGCTAAGAATGGCGCATGGTATGTCTCCAATGCGAGGCTGGGCTTAGGATCATTTCGGCTGTCCGAGGAAGAGGATCGAGCGCACAAGAGCTTGCTCGTTGTCTCATCTCTAAATTATGTTGATACTATCCTGGACCTCCTGGGAAACTCGGTGCGAGAGTTCCAGTACGCAGAAATTGTGCAACAGAAGACTGGTGAAACAGCAACAGAGACGGGTCGCTCTAATCTCAAATGGACCATCGAGACGGTATCCCGCTTGAGGTGTCAGGTCCAAACAATGATCAAAGTGGTTGGGGGGTTAGATTGGGGACGCACTACGAGTGGTATTCAGCAGAGATAGTCAAGGCTGTTGGGACCAGAGGCCATCCCTGGACCTAATTTATGACCTTTTGATAGTAGTTATTCGATATGACCAGCTGCGGATTTCTGCTGTCTCCTTGCCCGACGAATGGGTTGACCGAATCACCGTATGACATTTGGCTAGTTGAGT